TCAAGATTTCGTCTAACCGGTTCAGAGTGACCAGATCCTGGTACCCGAGCATCTCCTGGACCTCGATCCCACCTTGTCGTTGCAAAGCGGCGCTCGCTAGACTGTCGGCACTTCCGTTTCAGTCCCTCTTGACATGCACTAACTCATGATCACTCCATTTCCTCAGGCGATCGAGGGCCTTCCGCTTCAATAGCGTCAGTCCGGGTGCTTTGCAGTCGATCTCACCCCGTACTTGTCGGATCACTAGGTTGGAATCACCGCAGACCACCAGGCGGCTGCGATCTAGACTCTCTAGCATGTCGAGTTCCAGGACCAGGCCGTTATATTCGGCTTCGTTCACGGTGAGGCTCTCGAGATAGCATGACCTGGCCTTGACCACCTCCCATCCGAGCAGACTCCACACGATCGCGCTGAACGCGCCCCCACGACGCTTAACTCGAGCGGATCCGTCAAAGCTGATCGCCCATAGTTCCTCGTCTCGATCTACAGTGGGTATCGGTGCTTGGATCCGGCGTTTAGGTTCCTTCCGGGGAGCGATTTCGGTCGGAGCATCGTCCATCTTTGCCCTCGGCGTGATGCTGACCGCGATCGCCCCCAGTATTTCGTCCTCGCCCTTCGTGCACTTCGTGATCTCGAGCGTCCACGGAGCCAGGAGGGCGGACCATTGTCCTAGGCGACCCTGCAATCCCGTCGACTTGAACAGCCAGGCCAACGTGGAATGCCTCGTTAGGACCCGGATCTCGCGTCCTACTAGCAAATTGTAATAGAGATCCAAGATCCTCAGCAGTACCAACACCTCCTTCTGAGTCACATTGTAATTCAACTCGTTCGTCTTCAAGGTGCGACTGGCGAACGTCGCCGGATGATAGATCACGTCGTGTTCTTGCGTCAACGAGGCGGATATCGCCCAATCACTGGCATATACGATGACTACCGGCGTTCTCGTCTCGTCGAAGTGGCGGAGGATTGGGGTAGTTGCGATCTTGGTTTTCAGGGCGATGAAAGCCCTATGTGCCCGGAACCACCTCTCATCTACTGGTCCCGTCAACTTCAGTCCCGTTTCTGACGAAGGAGAACGAATCGCCATCTGTATTGGCGTCAGCTCTAGCCTATTGCATGGAGCTTTCGCATTTCTTCTTTCAATGCGAAGGTGACACTAAGCGCGAGCAGGAGATGCTGCAGTGTTTGACGAAGTTGGCTAGGACCCAGGAAGTGAAGCGCCGGCGGCAGACGTCACTAGATTACTTTTTGACTACAATGTAGCCATATACACCCTGTAGCCGTTTCTTTATCTGCACGATTCTATAACTGAAACAATACCTTCGCTTGACCTAATCATGTGCCACTTATGGAGGTGTGACTGTATTCAAGTCACACGATATATAGGGTGAACAGTAGATAACA